GCAAAGGACACTGTTTTGAGGAGAGAGGAGGTCAGAGAGGTAGGGGGGTGCAGAGGAGTGGAGGGATCAACCGAAGAGGGAGCAACCGAGTCTTCAGACATAATTTCACACTGCCACGATCACAAATAATTCATAAATGTTTTCATGAAACTTGCTGGTCATTTAGAAGCCAAATTAAGCTCATCTCTTTGTGCTGAACAGGAACCAATACCTCAAACAAATGTTTCTGTATCATTAAATACCCAAGAAAATACTTTATGTAGCAATCAACCTATTTGTCAGGTAAATTTAAATTATTAAATGATTATAAATGTAACAAGCAGAGCCATATTCCAGGTGGAGTCCTTTCTTTCCTACAATTGAACAGTAATGAACAGTGTAAATAGTGATAACATGGGTTCAGTTTTCCTAATATTATTTTAACACTCAGGTATCCAGGGCACCTTTATTGTTGCGTAGAGAGGTATGAAACTGCTGCTGAAGCACTGCATTTCGAAATGGCGGAATTATCCTTCAATTAATAGGGATGTATGTCTGACTTCTGAGCAAGAGAATTGTGATAATGGTCTCACATCACAAGATTAGATTAGATCAGAAGGCTAATCGGATCTCATCTTTCCAGAATACCCATCCTATGTCATTCATGCTGAGTGATGCTGCTCACAAAGAAGCTCGCAGGGAGTTCCTGGTACCTGCTGCCTACCTGTGCTTGTCAGATGTCAAATGACCAACTCAAGACTATCTTCCTTCACTGGGATGTGGGATGTAGGTCTATCTGGGCTGAGTTGGCTCCAAAATGACATGATTGGCAACAAAATGTTGAAATTAAGTCAACCTTCTGTGGACTGCCTCAATTTCAAAACCAGGCAGGTCTGCAGAAATCCAAGATTCTGCTTATGAATGACCAGCCAACCTGGCTCAGCAGCAGACCCATCACTGGGGGTAGGGATTCTGCCCATTCTGCTCTTAATAACCCCGCAAGCTAAAGCCCTTATGAGTGGGGTGGTTTTACCTGGTTAGATTCCAGCAATACCCCAACGCACACTCTGAAGTCCCTAAACTGGGTTCTTGCCAATCTGCGCCTAATATTTTACACAATTAGGTAACCAGAATGCAATCCTACAGGGAGAGAGTGAACATTCCATTCGTGGCTCATATGTGAAACTCTCAGACTGGTTGGGATAGACTTAAGCATGGTAATGGGTTTCCACATGCATGAGATTCACAACAGACAAAAAAAAGCTAATTTATCACATTTACAATATTTCTTTAAGGAAAACCACATCATCACCTTTGGTTCAAAGCAGTCTAAGGTGGGGAGAAAGAGAAAATATTCAATCTGCTATTTCTGCCATCTGCATTTGACCTCTGCTAAGTATTCTCCTTACATTTTCTTCAAATGAATACAAAACTTTTGTCTAATCTGAACTCCAGGGAAATCAAACATACCACATAGCAGATAAAAGTCAACTATGTCTTTTAAATTCGTTGTGCATACTTCACACGGTCTATAAAAAGACCTTTGGAAATGACAATGACCAGTAAAGCTAAAGTAGCAAGAACCCAAGAGTAAAATGAACAGAAATTAGATGTGGTGGTGCTTCTGCTAGGCAAAGCACAGCAGTAGCTAATTGGCAGCTTAGAAAAAGAAGTCATAATTTCTTAAAAAGCTGTGGATCCAGCCAGGGCCATTAACATTTATCTGGTTGTACAAATTATTGCATAAACACTCTAAAGGTTAAAGCTCTATTTAATGCTCATTAGGTTTATGCCCAAGGTGCATTTCTCTCCTTCGTAGCTCTCAGTTACTGCCATTTATTATTTTTTGGTAGTTTCATTAGAACGTGGGTGTCTGGTTTCAATTGCAAGAAGGATTAAACTTGTGGGAACCTCTAGAGGCAATTTATGCAAGGCACAAACAGGAAGAAGGCTACCAAAATAGTCAATAGCATCACAATAATAAAGGCAACACGCCCTAATTAATTATAAAGGTTGCCTCTATTTATTTGTGATATTTTGCTACAAACAATCACAACTAACATAGCAACAGACTTTGCATCTGTAAGGAAAGGTTTGAAATATTCCACGGCATGCATTTGTAAATAAAGGTTAATTAATTTGAGTGAGAGTTAATTCATTTCTCACAAGAGAGTAATAATTATTTATTATGTAGGGTTCAAGTGATTCTAGGATGCAAGTCCATTTAAAATTGTAAAACACTTTTTGATCATTTTTGTATAAGTGCACTAGTATACCGTCATAACCAGGAGTATTATTCTTAAATAATCACAAAATTTAAATTTCTCCAAACCAATCAATTCCCAGAGTTGTTTTTGTATCTTGCTGTTGTAATTTGTTATTTAAGAATAAACTTGTGAGATGTAGCAAGGTTATCACCAGCTCAAATGTAAGTGTTAATTACACAAGCCAATAATTGTGTTCCAAATGCCAGCAATCAGAGAAGTGCAAGCTTGTCAGGAAAAGAAACATGTACAGACCCATGGGTCTGAAAAATCTATCAGAGCAGCAAATTAGAGAAGGCCACAGGTGAGAATCACAAAGTTAAGGTAAACACTTGAAGATACCGAAATAAGTACAGAATGACAATTCTCTGAAAGCACAGAATGAGAAACAAACTGTGATTTGTGCTTTTAATTAACATGGAAAACTATTTGTATGAAATCACAAGCATTCCCAGAAATGTGGTTTCAACTATGATTTTTATTCTGTTGGATTTGTACTGTTAAGTTCTGTGTAGGAGTCAGATTTCATTATTCAAATACATAGGATGCCTGTTTTATTTCATTTTTTTTGTGTGTTCCATTTCCAATGTTGGCGTTTGCCATCACATTTCCTCCATCAACTCCGAGGCAGGCACACTCTGGGCCATCACTCTTCACAGCAGATGTCAATGCTGTTTTGCAATCAGCAGATAAGAGATGTGCTCTGAAGAGTTTTTAAAGATTAGTGATCCTGATGCTCTTTCGTCTTTCCCCTTCATTCCAACAAACAGTAACCAACAAGAGTTCTACTTAATGAGGCTGCCAAGACATACTGAAATTCTGTAATTGAGTTGATATTGCAACCATTGAAACCTGGGCTTTGAATTCATGTCCTTTCAAGACAATTATTGTATATTACTTACCCAATTCTACTCAATATTGTGTTTTTTTTTGAAAGGTGCTCATGATGAGCTTGCTGCATTTGAAAAAATCTAATCGTTATGGGTTACTGGCTTTGTAATCCACTATACAGTATGAACACTTTACGCACATGTTTAACACAGACATCATTACAAAAATATCATTGACCTGTATGCAGGATTGGGACCCTAGGTGCACTGTGATCTTTAGAATCAAGATCCATCCTCAGTCCCAAAATGCTGTAATGATCAATAACCTCTTAAAGTGGATCGTTATCAAATAATTAAAAAACATTTTTACAGCTTTAAACACCCTCCTGTGTGACTAAACTTTTGCATAAACACACAGAGGCACATTCAGCTTCTGTCAGAGGGTTTGTTTTATTTTACCAAATTATCAAAAGCTAACAAGCTAATTTATGAAGTACAAACAGAAGTTATTTAGGCAACTGAACAGGGCTACACATTAGAAAAAGGGCATGCTGAACCTGGGATTTGTACTGTTAAATTAAGAATTTTCAGAAGATTCAGTTTTCTAAAGTAAACCCAAAATATAATCTGGTAGAATAATCAAGACAATTGAGATCTATTGAACATGACATGAAGGGCGCTATTGAAATGTAATTTTGCTGTTTTGCTAAATCAGAAATCAAAAATATATAAATCTTTAAAAAGCTTCAATATTTGTTGGATGTAAAACATTTCTTTCCTGTTAAGGGGTCCTGTTACTTTAAGTGGAATAGATTTATTTGAGTCCCAAAGTTGTGGATTGTTGCATTTCCAGATGACGTTCAAGGAATGATGAAAGCAGCTTTAATTCAGGTGGTTTTGCATAGTTACATTAGTATAAGATTTATTGGCTTTGAAAAGTATTGTTGATTGGGTAATAATGATTGAGTCTTTTAAAGGGCAAGTCCATCCTAATTAGCTGAAAGGTCACTTATCAACATAAAGTGGCTTTTTATTTGTGTGCAATTGATAAAGGCTTCTGGTGTAAAATGCACAACTCTCTTGGGTGATATTTCTCTGCATCCTTTTTCAGTGTTCTTCACTCGAATCAAGAACACTTTTGCTTCCGATTTGGAAGCACCAACGTAGTACATCCAGTCTTTCTTAGAGCTGCAAATTTTTTATACAGCAATTTATTTCTATTGGTAGAGCAATTCAGAGTGGAGAACTAGAATTTATATTTCTTGCTCCAATCGGGCTATTGGGGGCCAAGGAGAAGGTGCAATCTATTGCATAAACATGGCGCGTTAACAGTCTCATTTTTCTGTTCAACCTTTTCCTATTTGTTATTGTAATTCTCCTTAGCCATTGCTTTTGTTCTGTTTAAACAACATGGTCAGAAACTATGAATAGACAATCTGTATACTACCAAGTTATCGTCATTTAGATTATTAGTTGGCACTTTCTTTAATTCTCATGCTGTCTTGGACTTTTGGGTAGTGCAATCTTAAGATGTTCGGTAATTGAATATTTATTGAAACTGCATTTAATATGCACTTTGTACATTGAAAAACAGATCTGAAACCCAGGTGTTGTTAAATGTGAGCTCACATTATACATGCACATTTTTAGGAAAACACAACTTCGAATTACTTTTGCATATACGACTCCCCATTTTACTGAAAAGTAGACAGGAAATACAGCTCAAGCAAAACAAAACAGGATTCTTTTTGATGCAAAGCATCACATCACTACATTTTGAGATATATAAGTTAGCCATATTTTGTATCTATTATTGTAAACCGATGTAAATTATTGCAGTTAACGAACTTACATTGGGTTAATCGTATGAAATGCAAACTGTAGATTAAAATTTAGATGTTTTCTAAATGGATGCATCACTGCTTACCTCTTTAATATTTTCTTTTATGGTCTTCTGCCAGATGTTCTGCACAACAGAAACATATTTCTTGTCTGTGACATAACAGTTTGCCAGGATGATATTGCTCAAGTTTGTTCCACTCTTCATAGCTTCTAGAACTTTCTGAATATGGTTGAGAGAAACTATAGCTTGAGATCGAACTCCTTTGACCAGCTGCATGGTGCATGGAACTAATCCAATCTGACCAGCACAGAATATCACATTTGCAATCTAAAAAAGATCAAAATAATTTGGTACATACTGATTTCTATTATATGAAAGATTAGATCATTCAAATAGTAGCCACATCAGATAGATTCATTTTAGAGCACATATTAAGACTCATACAAAGGACAAAATATTTAATGTAACAGAGATTTCATGTTCTTTGGTAATTTATGATCAAACAATATTGATTAAACCATTCTGCTTCAACAGGTGCCCCACATTTAAGGGTAGTTTTGTACTGTGAGCCCACATCTACTTGGAATTGGTTTGAGAAAGCCAAATTTCACTTCATATAGGAATCTTGGAACCAAATATAGATTTACGCAGACTGTACAGCATGGAAAAAGGTCATTCAGCCCAACCAGTCCGTGTTGGTGTTTATACAGAGGAAGTTTTCCTCCCATCAACCTCGCGTCATTCAACTCAGATCCCCGGGTTAAAATCACTCTGTGCTGTCCAGTGCCTCATAAACACATTTAAAAAGTCGCTATTACAGTAGTTGCATTTGATTTTCAAATTATCTAACTGACATCGGAATTCAAAACTATTGGAAGTATTTTCAGATATATCCACGTTTCACTTTAGAAGTCATTACTTTTGGTAATTTTCTCCTGGTGATACACCACTGATTCCTTACCTATAATGCAAACTACAAATGCAAAGGATGATTGCAATTGCAGAATTGAATTGTCAGGAGATCTGGACAGGATAAAGCTTTTCCTTTTTTTCCTCAATTTAAAAATCAAACAAAATAGCTTTTTAATCATTTAGCAACAAAATATTGTTTTGAAGACAGAGGAAATCAAACTTTAAAGGAAATGTTGGTTTTGGAGTTTGGTAAAAAAAAGTTTTTAGATTAATTCTCGTATTTGGGAGACTGAGATCCTTAACTACATGAGTATATTAAAAAGTCAATTCCCACCACACTATTTAAAAATTAACCTTAGCTCTTTTTCCTTGCTACTCAAGCCTCAGGTTAAGAAAAATTAAATACTGTGGAGGGAATTGAGTTTCGCAAATGCACACATCCTGACGATTTCAACTTAGAGAGAACCCGAGGAGAACAAGAGAAAGCGACAGAAAATAGCCTGAGCAGCTTTATAATTAAGCAATGTATTGCTGCCAGTCATATCTGTATGAAAGGAAAATTCAATAACATTTAAATAATTGGCCCAAGGTTTGTTTTAGATGTTGTAGCAGGAATTGTCTTTGTGTTCCCCTTCAGCAACCTCTTATTTTGATACTTTACTTCAGTCTGTTGATTTGTTTTGAATCATCATGCACAAATATGAAATAGAGCTCTTGCATGGATTCCACTTATAGCTACCTTCCCTATATAATGCAAGGTTGCGAAGCACTGTGGGTAAATTGAAACACGAGCAGAGGAGCAACAATTTCAAAGGTTTTCGCTCTATAATCGGTGCTCATCTATTTCCTTCTCCACTCTCCCAAGATTCACTTACGTTCCAGTTATATCACAGGCATTCGGTCTATGGTAAAGCAATTCAGAGTAGGAAGCTATGACTGGATAGCCACCTTCTCCAATCACTCTCACCTGGGGCTGAAGTGGAGCTTGCACATACAGAGGACATACATATCTAGATGATACACTGAGCTTTGAAATAATTTGCAAGTTGAGAGCGAGTCAAGCTTTCAAATACAATTAATATACACAAAAATGATTCATGCCCATTTAGCTTTGTCTCGTACACAGGTATTAATTTTTTATAAAATAGAATTAGTCCAACAAGAACAACAACAAGATTCCATTTATAGAGCGCCTTTCATGTAGGGAGGACGTCCCAAGGTGCTGGACAGTTGGGTCAGGACCCGAGCACGGGGGGAAGAAGTCTGATTCACAAGAACTACTGTTATACCTTTTAGAGGACGCAGCAAGGTTCTTGCATTACACTCTGGTAATTTTGTTGTGAAGCCTGGCATCATTAACAGTGCTGGTAGAAAGCAAGTATAGAGTGGCTGGAGCTCTGTAATTTGTCCATTCACGATAAAGTGATACACATCAGAAAGGCAGGGGGCGCGGGCGGGGGGGAGGTATTTATTTTAAAATGACTAAGTTTACAACGTTTACACTACCTACTATCTGTGCAACTGGAAATAACACTATTATTTCTGCTTGTTTTTCTACTCCTTCCAGCATGCCCTCTCTCTCTCTTCATCCTTACTTCATTTATCCCATCTTCTTCATCTCAATATTCCTATTGAAAAACAAACACCAAAGTTATGAAATGACCCCAGGCTGCTAGTATGACCTGAAATTTGTTTTATTTTCAATGTCATAATCGCCATAACTTAAGAAATTAGAAAGTAAACCACTGTACCTTAGTCCATATCTGAAATAATTTAATTTTCATAACAATGCTTTGAGTAGGGAGAGCTCGATAACCCAACTTGTACCTGAGGGATATTGTCTTCAGAACACCTTTATTTGATGCCATTTTAATTGTTCTTTTCCGGTTTCATTGCCTATAATTTATTAAAATATATCTTATTAGTTTGCGTTATGCCTGCTGTTTCAATAGGTCACAAGCTCAGATAATGCCCATTGACCCACTGACCTGTCAGTCCAATACTTGCTTACAAGATATTGCCAATGTAAATAACCACAAGTGACAATGTGCTAATTGCTGGTTTCTGCAAAGCCATGCAACCTTATGACCTTAGGGTAGACATCAATGGCTGGATCAATTAATACCTCGGGCAAAGAATCCACACTAATATGTGCGGATAGAAAATCTCTTTATAACAAGATTAAAGATGTTAAACTTGTAGCATCACTGGTAAATAATGCTAGCTATTTAGGTTCAATTAGTGTCCGAATGGTTGAAAATTCTATTATTTATTTTAGTATTTCCTACTGCATCAAGCTAATGTGAAAGAAAATAAACAGTCCTCAAGATTACAATTTTATGAGACATGAATAAGGAAACGTGGCCCATCATGTGCATTGCATTAGAGCAATAAATGGATCACTCTTCTTCAATGATTTAGGTCTCCAGTCTAAAAGACTAAATTTAATAAATGAGATGCTAACTAAAATTATGTTCATCCTGTTGCTTCAAATGCAGAAATTGTTCATAATTAGTGTAATTATACAACCGGTTTTTGCAGCTCTTGGGTAATATGTTTTTAATCATGTTTTGTAGTTGAATCTTGTGAAAATCAAATTATACTTTTCATTAAAAGGCCTCAATTTGCAAAAGCCTATATCCATTCAGGATTCTGTGAATTGTGTATATAATTATGAATATTACATACCACAATTTGCTTTGTTTTCAGACTCCATCAAAGCAACATTTTCTGAAGTGAAAGAATGCATTTTTATGGCTCAAGTTCTTAAGTTATAGCGATTACGACATTGAAAATAAAACAAAAATCAGGATTTTGCATTTGGCATCATTTCAGTTCTCATCTGACATCGTTGTCTCATTCACGACATGGTTTAGTTTAGAAATGCACAATGAGAACTCCAAAAATATGACATCTTTAAACTGAAGGCCTGAGTTCATATTCCAATCTATACCGACATTCAACTTTCACTTACGCCAATTGTGTCATTTCAGCAAGGAAAGTACAATGGGACAGACTGATCTTCATCACCTATTAGTAATTCAGCCAACAAAGGAATACTGAAAGTGTCTAAAACATATCTACCTGGTCTCTTAACCAAACAGGATGGAATCGATGTGAGGGAATTAATATGTTCATAGAAGATATATCCCTTTTTTTTAAAAAAATCCCTCAAAATGTTTATAACTATGGGCTCTGTACTCTATCCTCAAAAACACAAACGTAAAGTTATAAGGCACTGGCAGTTTGGTGTCTTTGACCTCTCAATGAGAAGCACCAGTTCCAGTTCCACTCCACGAAATTCCAATCAGAGACTTGGGCTGCAGCCTCCACTCGGCTGGCTCAGGCCTCCTGTGTCTCTCGTCCCCTCCGTTCCACAATCAGTGGCCGTGACTTCAGCCGCTGTGTGCCGAAAGTCTGGAACTCTCTGCCTCAATCCTTCCACCTTACGCCCTCCCTCCCCACTTTCAAATTCCGCCTAAAGACCTTCCTTTTGGATCGTGCTTGCGGCCATCTCCCCCCTCCTCCCACTGGCTGGGTGTCAGGCTCCACCACTGTCAAGCGCTCCAGGACTCTACTCTGCGTGAAGGGCTCTATATAAGTCAAGTTTGTGTTGCTGAGCAGATGCTGTGATATCTACCAGGCAAGGGAGAGGCAAACTCAGGGGCAGAAAATTATGCCTGTGGAGTCCTGATGATCTGTTACGAGGAGGAAGGGGTATTGTTGACATCTGGAAGCAGACAACCAAGCTTCCCCTGTCAGCTCCAAGCATAAGAATCGGAAAGAAAATGGAATGGAGCTATAAAAAGAGAAGGGGAAAAAAAAAACAAAGACGAAAGTGGTTTTGAAATTGACATGGCAAGTGGCTAATCAGAGTTGAACAGTTCGTGGTCTTGCCACTTACGTAAAGGCAGCAGAATTAGTACAACTGAGAGAAATGTATAACACTTACAAATCATACATGTCAAGGGAAAATAGTGCAATGAGATTTTCAAGTGTTAAAGTACTATTAATGTTTCTCAAACATAGGCTTAGACAGCGTCTTAACACCAACGTTAAGCACTCCAAGACCCTGCCCTGCGTGAAAAGCTATATAAATGCAATTTGTTGTTGATACCAAGGAATTCAGTTTGCTTGTGTTTGTAGAGCATACTCATCTCTTTATGGGTTGACTCCTTGATTATAATACCAAAACTAAACTTCAGCTTTATCACAACCTGTTCCCTAAAGTGTTGCTACCATTAAAGAAATGCAATGAGAGCGTAACCTGGAGATCTGTTGGCTTACCACAAACAGAAAATGAGGGATTCCTTTATAAAAGAATGACCTGAGCAGTGTAATTTTTATTTGCATCAAAGTTGTATCACTGTGTATTGCTGATGTACGTTAGTGATCTAGAATAGTTGTGAACACTA